TCGTTTTTGAATTCATTAAGTTTTGATTAATTAATCATTACATTTCCTTGCCGCCTACATCTACATACTTATAGATATGTGCATTAAGCCGTATTACGAAATTGCTTAATGACCAATTATAGTCCTGAGCGAGACCTTTTCGACGACATAGGCTGGGTTTCTCCAACTGAACTTAATTTAGTTTAGCCATTTTTTGGACGTTTTCATATTCACCATCTAGGCTAAGCCAAAAATTAGCCTACTTTTTTATCAGCTTATTCTTGATTAGGTCCAGCGGTTTATATCTGGTGCCTCAAAACCTTTTTACACCCAAAAACTTTTCTCCACATAAGCATTCTACATACAATGTATTCATTCTGCATCAAATGGCATACAAATTAATGATTCAAAGTTTTTACAAAATTTTGGATAATTTGACGTGTTTTTATGTACTTGTGACGTGTTTCTGCTCAGCGCTTGTCGGTGCGGATATTTTAATTTCTATCGTGTGCGTTTGTTATGTGCTAGAGTAAAACGCTCTGTTTACTCGTTTCACTTGGACACTAGGACATTTACATTTACTATTTGATTTCGCTTTTGACAATGCCTTGTGTTTGTGGTCAAAAGGTCGACCGCATAAAGTCTAAGATTCAGTGATTTTTTTCATGCAAAGTGCGTTAATCTATCGCAAACTGACTTGGATTTGACGGAGTGTTGATTGTAGTAATTTTATTATTTTCACAAGTTGTCCAATGTTTTCATTGTACCGAAAAGATATTTAATTTTAACTGCGGCCACTGCTCAGCTTTTTACCATCGTCCGCTATAATTCTGGGTAGAGCATTAGTGTACACATTTCAGTAGGAATTAAGGATTGAAATAAATTAAGAATAATATTTGAACTCGATTATTATTTACATAGCATTTCATCAAATTTAACTGCAGTGAAAATCAAATTGATAGGGAACAGCAAAACCCTCTTGGGATTTGACTACAATGAAATGCCTGTACCATTGCATTATTAATTGATGTGACTTGTTTTACTAATCGTGTTACAGTCATTGCACTAAAATACAAACTTGGATATGTTACGCTTTCGTATTGAAAATGATAATTAGCTGATTTTACAACCAAGCGCACTTGATACAAGGGTATTTATGTAACATTCTTGGCAACAGCTTTATAAGGACTGCGCTGAACAAAATTGTCCGGTGTAAAAAATGTGTTATGTTTTGAACCAGCTGTCAGATTTTGAAAAACAAAAGCATTTTAGTTTTATAACGAAACACAATTCACACAAAGTAGTAAATAAACAAAAGCTGTTAATTTTTAATAAGAAGTTTTGAATTTTCCGTAACCCCGCAAACTATCGTATCTATAGTAGTATCTAACTACCTATGTACCTGTTGCTAAAGCCCACTTTTTTTCAAAGTCTTGAATGTTTTTGGTTGCATTTTTTGTGGCTTTTATTTCGCTTTCAACTAGAGCCCAGTTTCTCTCATTCAGCCTTAAGACGTTTGGTAGATTGCCTTCTTTTGTTACCAAATTTACGTTATTCCTTTACGGCACTCATATGTCTGATGTGCCGTAGTATCATGAAATGAGGTCAAGCCACAACAAATTGGATACTTCATGTTACGTAAGAGTAGATGTTATCTCTTCTGCAAGCACTGCTTCGCTGTTGATTGTCCCCGATGTCACAAAGAAGCTGTGTTTTTACCATAAGTGCAGACGGGCTGCCAAACAAGGATTATCTTGGAATTTCTGTCACTTATTTGCTCGCTCATTTTCTGTTGCATTTGCTAGAAGATCGCCTTAAATATATATTATATATTTTTCTTGGCAGAGTTTGTTTCTGGAATTTTTTCACCTTGTTTATGTTCAGTCTTGTTTTTTATCTTAGTTCTTCGCAAAAGTGGTTCTAAGAAGTTAACCTTACTTGCCAATTTCCTTCTCAAAATATTTCNTATTTTATTTTATTTTATTTTATTTTATTTTATTTTATTTTATTTTATTTTATTTTATTTTATTTTATTTTATTTTATTTTATTTTATTTTATTTTGTTTTATTTTATTTTATATTGTTTATAAATGAATTATATTTTTATAAATCATATGTTTTGAGTCATATGTTTTACACCGTTGTAATTTTAAAATTTCAAAATTACATTTTTCGACTGAAAACTAAGATATTCGAGCTAACTCGACGGCACACAGTGTGCTTTTTTAACACTTCGTGCCAATTAATCGTAGCGCTTTCGACAGAACCAATATTTTGATATGAAACAAAATAGCTTTGGGAGTTGATGTAATTGCCTTTCAAGGAAAAATATTGCCAATTAACTGCAATCACTCCTTGACCTTAAAAAAATTTTTCAAAGATATTGTTCTTCGAAAAAAAACATGCAAAATCCAACGGATATATTAAAAAAAAAAAATCAGTTTTTGTACTTTTTATTATACTAATATCATAAATTTTAAGCCGAGAAATATATTTGAAAAATGCATTATATATTTCATTTCTGTAGACTAAATAAATAATAAATAAATAAATTTTGGACGTAGAATACGTCTTACGTTTCGATATGGATGCTATGCTCAAATGTCGTAGTTGTAATTTTTAGGGCTTCATGAAAACGCTAATTGCACGAGAACTAGTGAAGCGATTGCAAAGAAAAGTGTGCCATTTCAAAGACAAAATTCTAAACCTCTCGACAGATATATTTATGTAAGTAACCGATGCGGTGCTTGTCGTAGAAGCAACGGTAAAAATGGCTTATTTCGGGGTAAATTTTGAGCCTTTAAAGCGCTCTAGCAACTTACGGTTGGCAGATATAACTTTCATTTTCGGAATATAGGTTCTCTGGAGCAGTGCAAATATTATCGTGTACAAATTTTATATAAACTCAAGAAATATCGAGAATTTAAAGGCAACAAATTTTTGAAAAAATTTACAATTTTTTTTAATACCAAAGTGCTTGAAAACCGCTCGAATGATTTTGTTTTTGTGTTCTATAGTCAAACACTCAGGTATTTTCTTTTCCTGGGAAGTATTGATAGATATCTTCTAAGTATGTTTATTTTATTCAAATATATGGGCATAAATAATTTTCCATACAAAATCACTTCATCATCAATTTGCAAACACGTGCATGTGTAAAAACAGTTAGGTGCTGGCAGCGACAAAAGGATACCAAAAACCGATTGCGCAGTTGAGAGGAAATATATATAAACAAAATGAGGTATCAAATAAATGGGCTTGGCCTGTAGATGTGCAATAGCTTCTTATTTTTTCAAAAAAAAATTGCCACCCGATTAAAAAAATTATATTCAAATTATTTTTAAGTTATATCAACTATTACACTATAAGTATGGATCGAAATGGTTTTGAAAAGGCTTTATTTCTTAATTACACATATGTAGGAGGGTTGCCACCTGTTTCAAAAAGCAAGTACGACTTAAATAATGGCAGAAAATTGAAATGTATATCCTGATATGGCTGTTAGACGAAAGCAGTTGTGGTTTGAAAATATTTTCAATAGGGTTGCCACCCGTTTAAAAATTAGATTTCAAATAAAGTATGCATGAGTTAAATGAAATATTAAAATACTACAGGAAACGAAGGTGATAAGATATCCTCATTTTAAATATTTAGTTTATTAAAGAGGGTTGCCACCTGGCAACAACTTAGACTCAAATTTTTTAATAAGTTAAAGCAATTATTAAAAATATGGGTATCAAATGAAATGGGTTTAAAAAGACTTTATTTATGAACTGTATTTAGGAGCGTTGTCACTAATTTAAAAAGTCAAATTTAACTTAATTCATCAGGCACATGAAATATTTATGTATACATCTTAACTATATTTAGGAGAGTCGCCAGCTGTTTCAGAAGTCTTAGCTAACTTATGCACAAATCCGAAGACGAGCATGAGCTCGAAGAAGAATACTAATACGGGGACCTAGGCTAATATGAAAAGTAATACAAATTTCTGCAATATGAAAAAAAAATAAAAATGCATCGAAATAATGATACACGTCATGGCATATATCTATTTGTAAGCTGATGGTACATATGATTGAAGTTCATTTTGTTCTGCTTCTCTATTGCTAAGTATTAATACTTTTGCGATTCATATTGATTTATTAAATTCAATTCATTACAATACAATACGTACAGTTTTTAGCTTGGATGTGATCTTAATAATATCACGTTTTCTACGTTTAAGTTTAGCGGCTGTGACTCCGACACAGCCTGCAGGTCAAGACGAAACCGCTGGACTGATCCTTTTTATGATTTGCATGCAGCTCTGCACCCCCCTATTTCCCCTCCTCCTTTCCCCCGTAGATCCGGCCCTGCCTCAATTTGTAGAAAAATGTTGGCAATCGCCCTAAACTCTTAGTTTTTGTTACATAAATTTAAAGGAGTACACTTGTGATTATAAACATTACCTGTAGCTTTGGAGATACGCTGGGTATAAAAATTTTAGTTTGAACTGATTTCGATTACAAAACATTTATGTACACAAACGAAAACTTTAATTGGCGGCACTGTAGCCGCATAGGCGCAATTTAAATATGTACATACATATCTATATAGTATATACCTACATATATGGCAATTAGTTCGAACATAAGATTTTCGGGAGCTTATAAATCTCCCTCTAAGTTAGTACTTAAAAAGACTGGTATTCGTTATGTCGTGTCTACGCGTGTTTGTGCTGATTTCTTTAATTAAATTCACTACTCCGATGCATTTGAGAGTTTTTCAAAATTTAACTGCGGAAGCACTTTTCCTCCAAACAGTACGTCAAATCTTTGTCGAGCAACCTTTCGAAACTCTATTTCTGTTGAAGGCAACCAACAATTCTTGTATCTCGTCAAATAACGTATGGGAATACTTAAGAGTACCGGTGCTCATCGCCTCGGCAAGTGCGCCGGAAGATAAACTTAAGGACCGTTTCACTAGCAAACAGCTCGCAGTCACGTGTTTGTCCGTGCAGCTCGATCACCAGCTACTCAATGTCTTGGCTGCCAACTTGCAATACAGACGACAGACCTACACCAACCTTATTAGCATCTTTGCAAACATTTTTGGCAGATCAACGTATGACCAATTTAATCGCAATATTCTCCAACTTCTACACAGAACACAATTTTTACCGATATCATCCATTTCCAAGCGGTCATTGGGCACTAGAGTTTTTAGATAAAACAGATCGCTACTTTCTGTGCCACTACGCCAATATGCAGGGGACAACCTTCAAGACTTTATCGATTCAAATTGCGCCACTCGCCATCATTTATGAAGACGCTGCATGTAAACAGCGTTTGAGCGGTTATGTTGGTTACCTGATGATTGCCTTTGCGAAAAAGTACAATTTCACATGGCAATATATACACCCAGTCATCCAGGGTAACAATTTGTCTATAAACGATTTAGGGACGTATGTTTTGGAAGGTAAATTGGACTTTGCAATTACCCTGAGTCCAGCTTCCTATAGACCGGAGGAACGCTACCCTTATATGTCGTATACCGCGAAATACATGGATTGGTTTATTGCCTTGCCATGTCCGCAGCCAATTGCATACTCAGAAATATACACGGTGATTGTCACAACTCAAGTTATTGGCATTTTAATGATTCTGGATTTGCTCTTCTCCATGCTGGAAACCTTTATGAAGCATACATTCTATAAACGTTCAGCTGAGTTCAATTTGGCCAATATTTTGATTAATGTAAATATTATGCGTGGCATTTTCGGACTCTCTTTTTTAATAAGGCGTCGTCCAATACTATCCTTGAAGATGCTTTACATTTGGCTGTTTCTACTTGGTCTGTTTGTTAACAACATGTACTCAGCTTACTTTCAAACTTTGTTCACAAGTCCGCCACTTGAGCAAAAGATACTCTCATTCGATGATATGCGACGGGCAAACTTAAAAGTCATGTTTGTCCCGAAGAAATTGGAGTTATCCAAAATGGACTTGGCTCTGGGTTCGACAGCGTATTCCAGGATTTTTTGCAGCTGGAAGATGGTGAAACATATGCTCGCCATCGATCGGCATTTGACACAACATATGCATATTCTATGCCTGAAATTCTTTGGCCTATTTTCGAACTGCAGCAGCAAACGTTTCAACGTAAGATATTTTGTTTGGCTCCACCTTTAAAATTCTTCGATCATTTATTGCTGAGCATACCCTTGGCGGAGAATTCGCATTTGACGGAGCCGTTGAATTCGCTGATCATGCGTACAATGGAAACTGGCCTGCTAGACCACTGGCACACAATGACGTTCGTGAATTTGTGGGCAACAGGCAAGCTGTCGCTGAAGGACAATAGCAGCATCGAACAGTTTCATAATATTCGAGTGGAAGATTTTAAGTTTCCATGGTATTTACTGTTCTGTGGATTGGGCGTGAGTAGTTTGGGTTTACTTATGGAAATTTGTGTGCACAAATTGAAGATGAGGACAAGATGTAATCATGGAAAAGGAAAAATTATATTTAAGTTGAGACAAATCTAAAATAGTTTTAAGATGTCTTTTAAGAATGTATGTATTAATCGTGGGTCATCAGAGTAAGCGTGTTATCAGAGCTTAAATATTAGTGTTTTTTCTGGGTAATATCTTGAAATTTGCCAAAAGTTGCTAATCTACCGGTGTTGGCGTATGCTGCGAGTTGTTCCTGTTGCGGATACCTACGCACTGATTCACCTGACTTATTTTAACGCTTGCTTCACCTGATAGCTTAAAAAGTTCGTACAAACATACATATGTACATATGGCATCAACACGAAAAAACCCAACAAGAAAACCTTGAACCCCCTTCTGAAACTCATCTCACGCCGGCATCAGCTATGTTTGACTGGATGTAGAAGAAAATACAAGAGCAGAGAGACTCAATCATCCAACAATTGATAGCGGTAATGATGAAATCGGAGCAGAGGGTCAACGGCAAATTTAAAGATGTCTATAGGTTTGTTCGTCGAGCAAAAAATTTGTACGCATTTGTTCGAATTATTATGATTCTTGCCCAAATCGCGTTCGTGCAGACCAAAAAATTATCCATCACTCAAAAACTGAGAGCGCAAAGTGACAGTACTCCTGAAAGAAGTTGCAAATTCTTGCTGGAAAAATTTTAGCCAACAAGAATTTGCAATCACGAAAAACATATGATTGTGGCACATGGTTGCATTTTTGTCTACGATAATTTAAATAAATAAGTTCGTTAAATTTAAAAATTTATAAACACGAGCGTTTTTTTTATGAAAAAAGGAAGTAAATACTTGTTGATATAATTAATTTAGTTAATTCCAATGATTTGAACTTAACTNAATGCAGTTTCCACCGATGTGATACTAAACGGAAACCCTCAAGCAGCTGATGAGTGCTCGTCTGAAATCTTCGCTAAGGTCCGCGGTGCAGCTCAGCATAAACCTCCACCTTTGCGTGATGCTTTTCGACTGTGTAGTGCAAAAACTAATGGGCAAAAAAGCAGCAATAACTGCCCCATTGTTTTTAAGTTGTTCTCTACACATGATCGCAATCAGTTCTTAAAAGCTATTGCTAAATTATGGATCAATTTTTCTGCATGAGAGTTTGCAAATAATACTACGAGAAGTACTGTCGTATGTCTCGAAGCTTAGGCGGTAGAAACAATTGGCGTCAATCTTCTCCAGCCGTGGGAAAGTTTTTGTACGGCTAAAGCCAAGCACTAGCATTATCACTGTTTTTAACTGAATATGAGTATAATGTTATATGTGGTTATTTTAATGTTAACTACTTTACCACGTATCCACTGCTGGTCTTGCTGTAGTCAACAAGTTTTTACCAACAAGATACGCCAACAATTCGAAACCTAGCTTGCTAGACCTGCTTATTACGTCTAATCTTGACCTTAATCTTAAATTTGAACAAATGTCTTTTACCTCTGACTATGACCTAATATTTTGTGCATTAGATGTGACGTTGAATTTTCCTGCTGATAGTGTTATTTTTATATGTCGTGATCTGAAGTCTGTTAACGTTGCTGATCTTTTCGTTGATTTGTCAAGTGTTAACTGGCTGTTGGTTCTACAAGACCGTAGATGAAAAACTTGACGTTTTAAATAAAATTTTCATTAAATTATTTGACGATCATGTCCCAGTCCGCATTGTTAGGGCTATGAATACCTCCTGTAAGTAACGTGTATGCTGTTTTACGTAGATTAAGAATGTCAGAGTCGTATACACCCTTAGATACCAGAATACCAGAATAAAGTTGGCTATTCAGCTTATTGTACCACACATCACGTACTCTGGGCTCGTGTATAGCAATTTTTACTCTATTTCGTTTCACAAAATTGATGTTGCGTTTAATAACGTTACACGTTACGTTTACGGCTTCAAAAGATATGACCAAATTTCTATGTAGAAAATCACAATTCTAGGATGCAGCATTTTTGAATATCTATAAGCTTATTCAAAATCCCTTCTGAAAACATTAAAATTAACAAGATCTAATAGGCATTAAAGTCTGATTGTCCCCAAATATTCCTACTTGTCTTCAGCTAGGCTGTTCTTCATTAATGCTGTAAGGCTCTGGAACTCAATTCCGGAATCCGCAAAGCAGCGATGAATCGGAGTAACTTCAAAAAAGTAGTGCATAATTACTTTAAATCCGCACAATGAATGCGATTGGTATTAAACTGTTATCATTTCTCTGTCTCTGTCACTTCTACTGTTAAACCAAATTTTGTATGTTCGTATTTATATGCCAGACTTTTTATCATCATCAGTTTTAAGTCTTGATTTTAATTAAAAATACAAATATGAATATTTTTTGTTGCTATTTGATCAATTGTTAGTTTTAACCAGTTGGTGTATTATAAAAGACTTAAAAGTATTATAGATACAGTTTCATTTCTTAAATAAATAAAATAAATGTTAATAATAGCACTGTGCGACAGCTGAAACCAGCACGGACTTGCTAATATTTTCTGAAAGTATACACATCCAGTAATAACACACTCGATGGATTTGCAAAAGTTAGCTCGTACTTTTATTTTATGGCGTACTAAAATTTTCATGCTCCTGCCTAATATAAGTATTTTTAACAAAAGTGGAAAAAAAATTGTTAAAATAAATATCTGAGCTAAATTAAATGTTGAGATGTGTACACTAAAATTTCATGGGAAATATTTTCGTAGAATATTTTAACCTATTAGCTCCCACCTTACTTCAAAAGACCTCCAAAAAGCAAATTTTGAAGGTCGTGAAGGGATTAAAATGTTCTAGAGAATTATTCTTAGGAAAATTTAAAAGGGTTCTACTCAGTCAAAATCTTCAAGTCATCAACTTAAAAGTGGTTTTCTTCCTATATTTAGAGATTTTAATTTTTGAGTAGTTGGCAACCCTCTTCGAAATTATTTCTCCTGGAGAAGACTGACTGCATTTAAATAGGTTTCATTGACTAAAAGCGTTGCAATATTTTACTTGATTAATTAAAATTTTATACAGGGGACAATCCTATTAAAAATATTGTATTTTTATCCTAAAGCGTTGAAGCTGGCCTTCAAAATGGATCAATGAATTGACCGGATATAGTGTGTCTAAGGACTCGTATAAAAAAAAAACTAAACAGGTTTATTTTAAAGCATTCCTCCCATACAAACCTAACTCCAAAAACGCTTGAAGTGTTAATTGCAGCCATGAATGCACGACTCCGAAATTTTGTACATTTATTTATAATCATACATTTATAATATAAGTAAACGCCTTTAAAATGGTGTAATCGGTTTATTTTTACGCAAATCTCCCATACAAGCTTAACCTCAAAATGCTTTAAGAAGCCATTCACATGTAAGGAAAAATCCTGTTGTTATACAAAGTGCAAACTTGTGCAAGGTGAGTTATACAAAAATGGAAAGCAGAAACTCTATATACAAATATATAAATTGTGCTTCACGGTGGGTTAAACTGCTTTTCCTTTAAAGTTAAAAACCAGCAAATTTCAATTGTTTGTAGAAATGCGAAAATTGCTAAATTCGGCGAAACAGATAATAAAAGATGAGGTAAAAAATATTAACTTACCCTTTTATAAATTATCACGTCGTTTAAAAGTTAATTATCTTCATTACTATGATTTCTAAGGCTTGTAATATTTTCGGAGAAAAATAAGTTTTTTATTTAAATTTAGAGAGCGACCGAGCATCGATTTTTAGAGCCGAACCTAATACCTGAAATTAAACAATTGTATGTTATAATGTAAAAATCAAAGTCTGTCGGCATTTTCACCTTACAACCGATTCCGTCTATCGGTGTTAAGCTAGGCGAACGATTCATCGATGTTTTTGAAACATCGTTAATATTAGCCTGAAATTCGATGTTTGCTATCGATGTTTAATAATTTTTAACATCGCCGACTTGACAATACATCGATGTCAATTTCAAAGATTTTTTAAAGATCGACTTCTGTGTAACTCTCAAACCTGCTATAGACAAAGAACGTAGATAACAAGAAGGGACAACACGTTATAATTGTAGCGAAAGTGAGTAACAGGGGCCTGCCTTCTCTTTGCATCCAATCAAAAAACGTATTTGGGCAAAGGAGAAGGCGCGCTCCTGATGTTCACACTCGCTACAATTATAACGAGTTTTTCCTTCTTATTATCTACGTTCGTTGCTATAGATCAAAGTTATGAATTATTTTAATTTTTTTTTTACTTATCATGAATTTTTATATTACTCATCCTATGGAAAAGCATTCAGAAATTTCGATCTTAGCGTCCAGTATGGAATATGCTAGCATAGTTATGTAATCATTAAAAATTGCGGACCGCCCAAAACGACAAATTTATTGCCACGTCACAGAAAATATTGTTGATTCTAGGCTTTGAAAATTAGCGCCGATATAGGAAGGTTAATTAAATGCAGAGAAAATCAGAAGGTATTTTCATTTCAAAAGATGGCATGTTTCAGATTATTAAGTTATTCATTGAATTCAACCAGGACTTAAGAAATTGTAAAATATCGTAAACCATCGATATATCGATGTTTTTCTGGCGATGAATTTTAGCATCGATGTAGATTTTTCCGATGCATCAAAACATCGATGTATCGATGTTACTCGCCAAAATTTGCATCCCTATATAAAGCTGACCTTCAGCACTGAGCAATTGTTCACTAGACACACTTGATGGAGGATCAGACAAATATTTTAAAGGATTTTTTTTTCAACAGAAAATGTAGGCTTTGATACCAGTATTCAAAAATATTTCAATTTCTTGGCAGCAGATGTTCATTGAGAAAAGTGTCCAATTAGTTAATTTATGAATGTTTAATATGAATTTCCTACCTTTGTTTTGCTGCCGCCAATAATATTCATATATTTTTGCGAGAATAAAAAAGTTAATTTTTGGTTTGATTCTGCAATTTTCAAAATGAAAATGAAACAATAACAAACTAAAACTTTGTACTATTTTTAAATAAAAAAAAAGATTGACAATGTTCGGCCAAAGTTAGTTTTTTTTTTTGTCAGAAGCTGA